AAAACTTTTGTGTAAAGTTAAATAAATATGTAGATCTGCATAAAATTGAATTCTCTATCGATCTGCAGCAAAAAAACGATGCAGGAAGGACTGATTTCTCGAGGATTTTTAATCCCGTCCTTTAGAATATTTAAAATGAAAAATTCGAATGTATGTTTTAGAGTCAGTTTAACTGCTGAAATGGTACCAAAGGTGTATACACATGCATACGAATTGCGTGTAAGTACAGTCACAAAGGCCTGCTCAAGTTTTCTAGTAGAACAATTGACAGAAAAAAACTGCTTAGGTAAGATATTAGAGAATTATGTCGATGTGTGTGATGACTAAAATTTATTATTTTTCTAAGGAGTAAGATTACTGGCGATGGATGATGAACTTCGTTCTAAGGCTGAATCATACATAAGTAATAATTTTGCAGCGATACTAGAAACACGAGAATTTCATACATTACCTACAATCAAAGTTGAGTTAATTGGTAAGTCATTTTTGACACTCGTATATGTCAAATCTAAACATATTTAGATCAAATTTAGCATGTTATTTATATTTCTTCTATAGGTTTAACACATGTAAAAATAACAGTAGTGGGTGAGCTGATTATGGATTGGTTGTTACAACAACTTGTTCAAGATAATAAAACTATTCAGGAACTTGGCGAATATGTAAGTGGTCGAGAATATGAATCGATTATCGTTTGTTAGTTCAATACTATTTTTGTTTTCTTTTGCAGATGCATTTATTATATTTAAACGATAAACACAAACTTTGTGACTGTGATCATATGGACAATAAAAATATTAATTTTTCTGATCTTATCAAGGTACCCGTCTTTTTAAGTTTATTTTTATTATATCTAGTCACAGTGTTGACAACAAAATAGACAAAGCAGATTGGAAATAGTCGATGAGTTATAAGGCGAGCAAAATTTTCTCTACAGCGAAAAAGACATCGCGTTTTTATCCATGGAAGTCTAGATTTAGTGTATTTCTTTGAAAATAACTCGCTCCTTTGAACTTCTTTAGGATTATCAAACTTATAAACTTGCAAAACGATCCGTATCTACCTCTTCGGCAACAGCATCGACCGATAATTCCATATTTGAGGTACCATCTCCTCCTCAACTAATAAATTTTAATTTATTAGCGAATGTCAATCCTCGTTTGCGTAAACCATCAGATGTTCACAATGAAACTCATTTGATTCATATTGAACAACCAACAGGTTTAAATATTAACGTTTTCGTAATAAATTCTTTGACATCTTCTTTTATTTAGATCATTCATTTGTGGCCATTTCTATTGTAAACGGTAAAATGCTGATCATCTCTATTCATTTACAACATCAAGAACAGTCATTAACACTACCGTCCGGTACAGAACCAACAAGTCGGAAATACTCGAATGAAGATTTAAGCCATCATCAGAACGGCAATATAATTGCTGACAAGGAACTCATGTTGGCCTGTTTGACTACACCCAGATGTGGATTCGGAATTGCAAAAACAGCTTTTTCAAATACAATTTATGCCATTGGTAAGTTGGAAATAGTTTAATTGAATTTTAGAATTGAATTAATATATTTTCTCTCAGGTGGATATGATCGTGGTGATTGTTTGGACACTGTTGAGTCGTACAATCCCTCTGAAGATAAATGGACAATATTACTAGCAAAAATGAATGTACGACGAGGACGTGTAGCAGCAGCGGCTGTAAAAGAGAAGATTTTCGTCTGTGGTGGAAGTGATGGTCAGCAAGAATTAGATACAGCCGAATGTTTTGATACTAAAACAATGAAGTGGTCTCTGATTAAAGAACTAAATTCACCGGTAGCTTATGGAGGTAAATTTCACTGGAACTCTTGTGTCTGTCAGATGTAAATCGTTCTATCTCTTATATTTTCGTTTAGCAATGTGTGCTGACAATAATAGTATGTACTTAATTGGAGGTTGTGAAGGCGATCTTTGCAAAAATGAGTGTTATAAATATGATCCGATTGATAATCTATGGTCACAAATCGCACCAATGAGATCAGGTTAGCTATCATGCAAAATGAAATGGAACTCACTGAAGTTAACTTTATTGTTATATATTTTTTAGAACGAAGTCAAGCAGCTGTCGTATATTTAGATGGAAAAATCTTTGTGTTTGGTGGTTATACGGTCAAATGTTTGAATACCTGTGAAGTTTATTCAATAGAGCAAAATTCTTGGTCCGATCTTCCGAGTATGAAAGAATATCGGCGTGGTGCTGGAGCAGTTGTTTATCGAGGTACGTTTTAGAGGGAAAAAGCTTCAAGCTATTATAGCTTGAAATTGGTTAAATTTATTTGAGTCATATCAAGATTCTTGTGCAGAGATAGTCATACTTTGAAGGAGAAAAGGGAAATTCTATATATATTTTAGAGTTCTGCAGGACAAACTTTTTAGTTGCTATAAATCCGTGAGCCGAACACAAAAAGTTTTATCTCATCCCGTAAGTTCGAACCCGTTAGCGACTAGTTGAAGAGTTTCTGTGTGTCGCAAGTTTTTGAAACTATTCTTCTGTTGAGATAAGCCGTAATTGTTACAAGAGGCGCTTGTATGAAGTGAGAAAGAGAAAATTGCGTCATAGACAATATCGCTTCGTATAATTACGTGTTGTAAGTCGAACTTCAGGTTAGTATTTCATCTTAAACTCTCAACTTAGTCTTTGAAAAATCTCCATGACAAAATTTAAGGCTAATTTATTTGATTCTAAATTTAAAGTTCTTTTTTAAAAATATGTTTTACATCTACTCACTAGCTCAGAATCAAAAAGAAAGAATTCTTAATCGAGTTGTTATAATTAGATTGTTTATTTTGAGTTCGCTTTGCAGTATATTTCTTTTATTAATAGGTAAAATATTTGTTGTGGGAGGTTGTAATGGACCGTCTTCTTTAACGTCTGTTGAAATATTCGATACAAAATTGAATGAATGGCAAATTGGACCAGAATTGAATATTCCCCGTGCCGGATGTGGTGTTATTGTATGTGGTGAACAGAATATTTTTACATGTGGCGGTTTTGATGGTAGAACATTTTTAAAATCAATCGAAGTATTTGAAATGCACAAAGAAGTGCCTTTAGAAATTGGTGAGTTTATTCATCTCAGTTGATGCACTATTCTATTATTCATGAAGTTTTAATAATAAACTATGCGCAAATCACTCGGTCAATCTAGTTTACAGAGAATTTGGCTAAAACAAACACAGACAGCAAGAACTCATCAACAAAATTTTGCATAGGCAATGATCGTTATAGTCTAAATACTTCGTGTTATTCATTTTAGGACAATGGCGTATGAAAAAATTATTAGACAACGTATCACATCCTGTTAATGGCAAAAATGAATTAGTGAATGATGAATAGAAACTTTTAATAAAACCTTCGTTATGTATGCAACTATATTTGTTTTCGTGCTGGCTATATACTGTGAGAATAATGATTATAATTTGTTTTCCTTTCTTTCATTTCACTATTACCGTCCAGTAATATAAAATTTGGTTTTTATCAGCTATTTTATTTCAATACTAAGCTTTTGTTCTATCTTATGCGAATGTTCTTCTCAATTTTCATTTCTCTCAATATAATCATCTGACATGAACACAACATTGGCAAAGACTTGGACGGATTTGCGTTTTGATATGTTGAATCGTAGATGTAGCAGTGTTTCAATCACACATTTACTTTTTTTTGAAATACCTCATTGTATTATCTTTTTCTGTTTTATTTTCGAAAAGAATGAATCAACGAATGTTGTTAACATATATATATATTTTTTTTTTTTTTGTAATACCTTTTTCGTTAAGGCAAGGGATGTTCTTAAAAGATGTAAGATGAAGGTAGTATTTTTTCGTTCTTTATTTCTTAAACCGAATGAATAAAATACATTTTTTTAACAAATTTTTGAACGAGACAAAATAGCACAGAACTCATATTTCAGAGGAAACTGGCTCCACTTAGAATCATAAAATATATTGATAATTTTTTTTGTATTACATTGTCAAGGTCTCAAATGGCATTTAGTTCATTTCATTTTTGTTTTCAGTTTATCGATTCTTTAATGATGTATTAAACAATGCAACATTTAAATTAAATCATTATTTTTTGCCTTCTTTTTGTTGTAAGTGCGTGTATGTGCATGCTACCATTTATGAATATTATTTCATAATAAAATACTAATCTTTTCAGTATATGTAAACTGTCGAAATATAAAGAAAATAAACTCCTTACTATCAATTACCACTGTAAAAAACAGATCGCCCTTTTCGACACCCTTCTGTACGTAAAAAAATATTTTCTTGTATTTCATGATAGTTGCAAAGATCAGTTCAATATAGAATTTATGGCTTACGAACGTAACTAAACCACGTTGAGATTCTATCTATATTAGGAAATACCCAAAAAATCAAACAGAGGGAGATACGGGAGAATGATAGCAAAACAAGGCATATTAGTTAGAATGTTTAGGTAAATTCCTATAAGATTTTATCAATTCCTTGCAAATATATACAACAATCTTGCAGATATTCCTTAGAAAGCTTACAAGATCTAGTGAGGATTTTACAAGACTTAACAAGATCTGGTATAGTCTTGAAATAAGATCTTACAACATTATAGAATATCTTATTTCAAGATTCGTCGCTCTGGACAGAAACATAAATCAAAAAATTTGTGTGGGCTTCTACAGCGATTTTTCGGGAACAAGGATGTTGTTCCTGAAACGTTTTGAATAATTACATTACCAAATAGAACACGTTCGGATGTCTACACAATTATATTGAACGATTATATATCTTTCTCTCCCTTCATGTGGGACGGACAAAGTTAAATGGAATTGT